CACTGGGACCTTCGGCGGAGCTCCTGTGGGGCCACGACACGTGTGAGTGGTAGGCCGAAATGAATTGGCGGGGACGCATGCGGACTGTGCCTCTGTGACCTTCGGCGGAGCTCCTATGGGGCCACGAAACGTGTGAGGGGTGTGCCGAATTGGGTGTGGGTGACGCATGCGGGCGGCAGCACTGGTGCCTTCGGCGGAGCTCCTATTGGGCCACGAAACGTGTGAGGGGTGTGCCGAATTGGGTGTGGGTGACGCATGCGGGCGGCAGCACTGGGGCCTTCGGCGGAGTTGGGCCACGAAACGTGTGAGGGGTGTGCCGAATTGGGTGTGGGTGACGCATGCGGGCGGCAGCACTGGGCCTTCGGTGGGAGCTCCCTATGGGGCCACGAAACGTGTGAGGGGTGTGCCGAATTGGGTGTGGGTGACGCATGCGGGCGCAGCACTGGGGCCTTCGGTGGAGCTCCCTATGGGGCCACGAAGCGTGTGAGGGGTGCCGAATTGGGTGTGCGTGACGCATGCGGGCGGCAGCACTGGGGCCTTCAGCGGAGCTCCTATGAGGCCACGAAACGTCTGAGGGGTGTCCCGAATTGGGTGTGGGTGACGCATGCGGGCGGCAGCACTGGGGCCTTCGGTGGAGCTCCTATGGGGCCACGAAACGTGTGAGGGGTGTGCCGAATTGGGTGTGGGTGACGCATGCGGGCGGCAGCACTGGGGCCTTCGGCGGAGCTCCTATGGGGCCACGAAGCGTGTGAGGGGTGTGCCGAGTTGGGTGTGGGTGACGCATGCGGGCGGCAGCACTGGGGCCTTCGGCGGAGCTCCTATGGGGCCACGAAACGTGTGAGGGGTGTGCCGAATTGGGTGTGGGTGACGCGGAGCTCCTATGGGGCCACGAAACGTGTGAGGGGTGTGCCGAATTGGGTGTGGGTGACGGGCCTTCGGCGGAGCTCCTATGGGGCCACGAAACGTGTGAGGGGTGTGCCGAAGTGGGTGTGGGTGACGCATGCGGGCGGCAGCACTGGGGCCTTCGGCGGAGCTCCCTATGGAGCTACGAAACGCTGTACTGGGTGGGTGAAACGCAGGGAAGAGGGGGAGGAGGGAGGAGGGGGCAGAGGAGGAGAGGAGAGGAGGGGAGAACGCGGGGACCGTCTCTTCAAAGCGAGGGCCCAACACCACAGGATGGTTGGGAACAAAGGCAGGGGAGGGGGCGGAGAAAGGGAAAGAGAGGGAGGAGGAGGAGAAGGGAGGATGAGGAGGCTCTGTTGCCTCAAAGATACGCCCTCCATCCCTCGAGGTGGTCCGGAGATGACATCAAGCAGACGTCAATATTGGGGAGGCTTTGGGGACATCCTTCGCGCGCTAAGGTTCTAGGCAAGCAGAGCGAGGCGCATGACCCAGTGTGAAATAACGGAGGAGTAGGGAGTTGAGGAAATCCAGCCGCCCACCTTGGGGACATACTTTGAATGTGTTGGAAACCTCTGGGGAAGTCTTGGGGGTCTTGGAACCTTCTGGAAGGAAACTTCAGGCGATCCTCGGTCTAGTTTTTCTAGGTAGCGGCTCTGCGATGCCAGAACGTGTCGGCCGTAGCGTCGCGTGTATGTTGAATTGCGTACTGCTGGCCCTGCGGCGAAATGAATCGTGACGTCCGCACCTTGTGCGACAGCCCGGGAGACACGCCTGGGGCGCGAATTTACAAGTACAAGGGCGCTGCTAGTTTTAGCGCTTAAATTTCTGCATTGGCCAGACAATAAGACGTACAACTTTTCTGTACATCGGACGGGCTACTACGACTGCGTGCCTCCCTCTGGGCACCCAGCTGACAGCGCAAGGCCTGCTGTGCTTAAGTTCTCCCAGCGTTTTCTTTGAGAGGAGCCAGGGGCGGACATAAGAGAAACGAGGCTGGAGGAGCAGGGAAGGGAGGAATGAGGAGGGCAATGCGTCCACTGGCATCCGAAGTGAGGGGTGCGCTGGGTGCCCCAAAACGGGGACTGCGAGTCACGTCACCGCACCCCGCGCAGACGGGGTCAGCAACCTCCGCTCTACGTGTCACCTCCTCGAAGAGACCCCGATTGCAGCGTGGACAGTGTCTGGATAACGCAATCTGGAAGAGTGCAGCGCAGCTGTCCTCGAGATCCTCCCCGCGAAGACCAGACGTTGGTCGGCCATGGCCTGCCGTATCTTGCATGCAGGCCCTCGCGACCTGTTACAGTCTTGAAGTGGCAGCGCGCAAACCAATCAACCCCCTGATGGGCGACGATTTTCCAAGTCGTTTTGTACGGGCAGGTCATGGATGTCAGAGAGCCAGTCGTGCAACTCGGCCTGGCCAGCGGGCTCGCTGTAATATGCTATGTCTTCTTCGTGGAGCCAAGCAAAATGTCCGTCCAATATTGTGAACACAGGAATATCGCACAAACGTGATGGCCCAACACGCGAAATACGCGATGGCTCTGTCGTAACCCTGTGATTGGTGAGGCTCTGCGTTGCAATATCGGGGTCGGGGTAGGAAGGTACCGACACCGACGGGTTGCCGCCGACAGGCTTAGCCTCTACCTCTTCGAGCCAAGTGGCGTGTATCAACAATTTGATGTACCTCGTATGCACGTGCAGCTTGTCCGAAAGTTTCGATTCCTCCCTCCTCTCGAAGTTATCGACCCGGATGTGCCTCTTCGCTGGCTCTAACTGTTGTTCCAGCAAGCGGTTCACTATCATGTCGCGGGACTCGCCAGTGAGAGACTTGGTGCCAGGAAACTTGCAGGTCGCCTCTACGTGGCCCTCTGGGCGGGTCTCGAGGCGGAGACGCGCCAGGCAGCGCCCGTCAGCACGTTGGAGCCGGAGGACCGCCAAGCTTACAACTCGCAGCACCTTCTCGCCGCCCTTCGCCCTGCTCTTGCCGATTATCAGCAGGCTCCTGCCGTGGTCCACCTCGCTCTGGAGGGTCTCGACCTGACCCTCGTAGCTGAACAGAGACCCCAGCCACCCGCGGCGCGTCAGCAGGGAGCTGATCGTGAACTGTCCGAGGAACACTTTGGCGCTGTGCGGCAGCGATAAAAGGACTTCGTCGACCCCGAATTGGGTGATCACGTCATTGGGCCGAGGGCATCCAGGGGCCTTCGAGTCCGCCAGGAAGGCGCAGAAGCGGCGACCGTACGCCCAGGTGAGGCTGTTCATCAGCGGGTCCCTCTTCACGACCTGCTGCAGCGACTCCGTCCGAACGAACAGCAGCTCGCAGAAGGAGGGCCCCCTGTGGCGAGGCAAAGATTTATCCATACCCACCGCCTGGGGAACCGACGTCCTGGGACCCGAGCGGGCGATGGATATTCTGGCCCTAGGAAGCCTGAGTATATCCATGTCCACCGCCTGGCGAAGTCCCCGACGATGGATACACCAGGCGGTGGTTATTGAACAAATCCCGCCTCGGACCTGTTCTCGGCGGTGCCGACGTGGCTCCAGTTGCACCAGAGGGCCGCCTCGCAGAGCCACTCCTCGCGCTTGACAACGGTAACCTCCCGCTCTGCGTTCATCGATTGGCTCAGCGGGGGCGACTTCCGGTCCTGACTGGTCACGTACGACAGCTCACCACCCGAGACGAAATACATCCTGGAGGCCTCTACGCCAGCAAGAAACAGTGTGTCCGTTGCCGCGATCGACAGGAAGTCCGAGCACGACCTGCAGAACTCCTCTGCAAAATGCTTGTCGATCTCGAAGACTAAGCCAAAGAAGCCGTGCGCACCGAGTATGGGACAGCAGAGCTCCAGCATCAGGGCGCTCTGCGTTGACAGCGAGACCAAATTCATCACGTCGACGTCCTTTGCTGCCATAGGCTTTCGCGACCTCAACTTCTGCACGACTTGCTTGTTTACTGTCAGAGCCACTTCAGAACTAATGCGAGAATTCCTGAGAAACCGTCGCATTGCCTCCAACTGCTCGTTATGCTCATGAAGTCGGATCTTGAACTGTGTAACAGCTGCTGAAATCGACGATACCAAGAACGAGAACACCACCAAGCCCGCCACCAAACACAATATGTTGAACTGGCGTTCTTCGGAGTTCACTGCGAACACCTGCATGGATCCAGGCGTCATCTGCGTCACGGCCCAATGTAGGGAGGTGAAATATTGATACCTGGGGGACTCGTCGGCATACGTTCGGCCGTTCCCCACGTCAGTATGCAACCATGTTATTTCAGTGTCGGTATCTTCGCGTGCCCCGAGGGCGAACCATGTGCATGCCATCACGTGGTTCAGCCACAATATGATTGAGGCGAACGTGATAGTGTCGAACATGAACACGGTCGTAGCATGGAGGGTCGCACTGCGTGCGTACAACCGGTCGAACGCATGGGCCAAACTCCACATGCGCAAAGTACCAACCAAGCGAGCGACACGGCTTATTTTCAAAACGCGACCTAACCTCGCACCATTCGGCGATCCCGCTGCATCAGGATTTAGCGTCTGAAGAAGCAAGGCTACTATGTCTGCGAGCAGAATGGTCATATCCAAGCAGAAACTCGTTGTGATATAATGCCAGGCAATCCTCCGAGACTCCATCACCAAGTTGCCGTCATGATTATAGAAGCCTGTCCTGAAGTGTGACACCATATCGACTGCCCAGTAGCCGCAAGAGGCGCATGCGAGGAGCATTGTCGTGCCTGCCTGGGGCACATCCCAAGCGATCTGGTATGGCAGCGACCAGACGTCATAGCAGAGGACTACAATGCTGAAAACGTCCAGCAACAAGCGCTGAGTGCAGGTGGGCGCCAATAAGAACAAGGCCTCCGATTTCTTGCCTGCGCGGTCTGGCCCAATCCTGGCAAACGAAAATGACCCTACTATAGATGAGGAATCGGTTGGCGCAGGGTTTTGGAGCTGCGACACCGCACTGTGACATAACTGGTCGAGCTGCCTGTCGCTGCTTTGAAACTCCGGCCTTAATTCGATGCTCTCCCGCCAATTCTGTTCGTCGGCGGTGTCGGTCGACCTCCCGACCATCAACAAACTGGTGTCGCGGGATGGCTCGCCCATTCCTCCGGGCTGGACCCCACCCAGCGGGAAGGACGCCTGCTCAACTGCTGCCTCATTCGGTTGCTCTCTCGATGCCTGCGCGCCGTCGCCGGGCGTCAGGCAGGACCCGCGCTGCTCCGTCTGCTCCTCCCACGACCGCGAGCGCAACAGGCCCGACTCGAGCAAGACCGCCTGCATCTGGCCAAGCTGCGCCTCCATGCGGAGCTGGCCCTGCAGGAGCGCGCCCGTGTCCTCCAGCACGCGGCGGCCCGCCTCCGCGCCTGCCAGCGTCCGTCGCGAGGCTGTGGTCGCGCACTCCAGGAGGAGGTCGCGCACCAGGTCCCGGTGGCAGGCGTCGCGCGCGCCGCCAGTGCTCCGGTCGTACGTCGCCATGAGCCCATCCACGTCCTCGCGCAGCCAGCTCGCGGCACCACCCCCCGGCGCCGCCATCCTTCGGCTGCCGCCGACCCGACCAAAGTGCGAAGCTGCAGATTGATACGGATTGGGGTCTCATTTTGATATTTTGGGGCCTCTTGCAACCGTCTGGGCGGCTCTCGGTGCTGTCTTGGGACTTCTTCATGGGCTTGGGGGGCCATCCTGTGCCCCGTGGCCGCTACTTACAAGCAACCAGGGCTGCCAAAAAGGCTGGGCACTCAAATCAGTGATCCCTGAGCCCCTGGACCCTTCCCAGTCATGCGCGCACACATGTACTTATACACTAGTAACATGCATCAAAAGACGCCCAGAACAGGAACGCCGAATATACGTCGAAAGAATACATCAACATCAGCATCATACATCAGAAGCAATGTTGATATATACACCTATAACCTTTTGGGGGCCACCTTGGAGCTTGTTGGACGCATGCTGGAGGGTTGGGGTCGTCTTGGGGGTCAGTTAGGGCTCTTGGGGCAATTCTGGGGCCGTCTTAAGGGCTTCTTGCTCCGTCTTGGGGCCTTCTTGGGCCATCTTGGGCCTCTCTGAGCCGTTTTCGGTATGTCATGGGACCGTCTCGGGGTCCTCTTGGGTCCACTTGAACTCGTCGGGTCCTCTGTTGGGATGTCTTGGCAGAATCTTGCACCCTTTTGGACCTCTCTTGGGTCGACGTGTGCCCTTTTTGGGGCCCTCCTGGGCGCTCTGACGACTGCCTATGATAACATTAATGAAACAATTAAAGATCCAGAACTTGTGCCTCTTGGGAACCTCTCTCAAACACCTTTCGGCAACCCCAAGCCCGTATCTGGACGCGTCCGAACTATCCTATTCGAGCCGTCTCGAGCCGTGCAAGCTCGAGCCGACGCTCTTGAGGCAGTGCCTGTTGAGTGGCACGCCGAGGCCCTTGAGAACGACGACAAGCTGTTCTTCGATGAGATGATCATCCTGAAACCACCCTCCCCTCCCCTGCCACGGACCCTAACCCAACACTGTATGATGCTGCGGGGGACGCCGTGCCTTGGGATTCGACCGACCTGCGGGGGCTCGATGTTTGCGTTGATGCTTCGGCTATGCGCCATAGTACCCGTGAGTTGTCTCGGGCCTCCTATTCTTGGATTTTCCTGGGGCCTGGAGCGGATGAGGTTGTAGCTACTGCTCGAGGCACGGTGTTGGACACCTTGCCTCAAACGTCTCAGGCCGCTGAACATCAGGCCATGGCGCTGCTCCCGATGTTTCAGAAGTTCGGGGGGAGCAGGTACGGGGACAGTCTGACGGTTATCAAGCTCTGCCGCGCAGACCCTGCGCACCAAGTTTCAAGGAAACATCGCTATGCTGGCCTTCGGCGTGGATCGCTAATGCACGATACTGCGGGACATGTTGCGCCAATTATGCACACACCTGCACATCGTGAACGGGATGTCATCGATTCTCTACCCGACGAGGAACGCTGTATCGCTTTGGGAAGCTGGCATGCAGATGCCCAGGCCAAGAAAGCTCTCCTCTCCCACCCCCAGCCTCTCCCGCTCGAAATAGAGGAGGTGGACAGGATATGTAAAATGCTCCGAGTCATTGCACGTGTTTGTGGAAAGATTTTGGTGGCTTTCCCTTCGGATACGTTCGAGCGATCGAGTGTGGGGCGCAGGGCCCTTTTTCTAAATCTGGGGGCTGGCATGCGTGGCAGGATCTCGAGCAGGGATGGTCTCGCTGCCTGCACTGCCTATCTCTCTGGAAGGACCCATCTTTCAGACTCATGCCCGGATGTAAATGCGTGGGTAGCACGTGGCGGACAGCCCTGGACATGTCTCTCGAGCACACTCTCGCCCACTGTGGTGTGCTCAAAAGCGATGTTGAATAAATGCTGTTCTTTTGCACGGTTTGTGGAGCATACCCCTCGAACCGCTGCCATTAGCTAGGCCAGGAGTGCAAGCAACGTCGTTTGGCAAAAGCCCCGACTACGCTCCGCCGAATATACGATGGCCTTTCTCCTCACTGCCGTGATTCGCCCAGGCTCACGAGCAGCTCGCGCAGAGGAGCTGCTTATTTGTGCTTTGCCGCCAACCAACCTCCGCCGAGAGAGGCGCATCCAAACTCGGGAGGTCAGCGCCGGTTTCACCGCTCCGTCTGCGCGGGGGGCTCTCCCTGCCTCCGGCTCCGCTCAGCCTTTCTCTGGCCCGAGTACTGGTTCTGTTACTGCCTTGGCCGCCCCCGCACAGGGCCCTAGCTTTGTTGCGAGGCAGGCACCACCTGCCGCTGCCACTTCTCCAGCGCGTGTGGATCCCTCGCCGACTTTGCTGCGGAGGAGGAAGCTGCGCGCGATCTCCAGACTGGGGCGGGGAGTGGGGGTGGCGGGAGCGGGTCTGTGCCCGTTTTGAGGCAGGCGAGCGAGCACCTAGCTCGCGAAGAGGACGCGGCACCTCTTGTGGCGACGGTGCGCAGTGAGTCGTGGGACTCCGACTGATTTACTGCAGCGGGCTAATGTGCGAGTTATGTCATAATTTCCACCGCAGACCTTGAGACGCTGCCCGCCTTTTTGGCTGGAGGTACGGCGATTGTAGGCCATCGGAGCTGCAATTGCGCGTGCCCCTTTCACTGCCGCTCTGCGCCTTTAACATCCTTTGCAACGCCTCAAGTTGCTGTGATTTGGATCGATCGTTCGAGCATCCGTCTCGGGCGGTCCGTCGTTGGCACGTTTGCACCCAGGTCTTGCCCTAAGGGGACCGATGATCAAAACCCCTGTTGCTGCATGGGGGTCCTAGTTGGGCTTCCTTGAGCCCCCTGGGGACCCCCCAAGCGCTGTCTTGAGCGGTACGGGAGTGGGTGGACCCAGATTGCGGGTTCCATGCCGTGGTATCTGGGGGCCCATTGTCTTCCTCATTTTATGCGGAAGAACAGTTATCTTTCTTTGATCTTTGTTTGTGCTGTTCCGGTTGTTGTTACATACATGTATATGTATGTTTCTACATTTTACATGTATCAACCTTTATGCACACACTTAGTAGAATCACGCGCGCGCTTAGGTTCTTGCAAGCCCAAGCTCTTGATATCCCCGCAGCTCCACTGAAGTAGTTACCCTCAACTGGTTTGAACATGAGGTGAGGAAGGGCACGAATCTGCTTCGGCGAGCCCATTTGGCAGACCCGCTTCGGCAGAGGTTCGCCTCGGCATCGGTCGTTTCCGCGGGGGGTTCTTCGGCAGAGCTGCTTCGACAAGCCCTCTTCGGCAGAGACGTTTCTGCAGAACCGCTTCGGCAAAACGCCGCTTCGGCATGTTGTCTTCGGCAAGGCCGTTTCGGTAAGCGAGTGAGGCATGAGACTGAGGAGGGGGAAGAGGAAGAGCAAGGAGGAACATCAATCGAGTATGGGATCGTCTACATAACTGTTTTTTCTTGTCGAATCCACGGGCAATTCGTAGAACTTTCGCAGATCTAGGAATGGTTGACGTAATTTTGTTGAAGAATCGACGTGAACATCAATTTCGGGGTAAATCTATTCTGTAGTCGATCCCCCAATCGAATCAAAGGGAACAGCCGGAGGAAAAAGTGAAGGATGATGATGATGATGATGAGGAGGAGGAGGAGGAGGAGGAGGATGGTGAACGGTGGGAGCAACAGCAGCGTGAGCGCGAGGAGGAGGCTTTGGCCGAATACCGATCGGAGTGGAGAACGAAAATACGTATGATGTTTCTCCTCGCCTCTGCAACACCCTCACACCCGAACAGCCCAATACCCTGACACCGTAACGCCCCAACACCCTAGACCCTAGCGCCCGAGCACTTCAACACCTTAACATTCGAACGCCCCAACACCCTAAGACCAAATCCCAAATACCGTAACCCACCAAGAACCTAAAACCCGAAAACCCTAACGCCATAATGGCCTAACACCCTTACACCTTACTACCCGCACACCATACTACCCGAAAAGCCTAACACCATAATCGCGTAACGCCGAGCACCTGGAAACCCGAATACCCTAGCACCATCACGCCCAACCGCCCGCACACTCTAGCACCCTAAGACCTTAACACGCTAACACCCTAAGACTCAACATCGTGACTGCCCGGATGCCCCAAACCATACGATCCAAACGCCTACGCCTCTAACACCCTGGCACCCTAACACCCAGAGGCCCCAACACCCGAACGCCCTAGCGGCGTAACACCTGACACGCTAACATCACGCGCGCGCGCTTCGCCCTCTTAGGTTCTTGCCACAACTGCGCTACAATATGCGGCTCTCTTCTTCGCTCGTATGATCAGCGGCTCTGCGAAGCCGGCTGCATGTCGGCGTCGGAAAGCGCGCATCCACGTCCGTACGCCTACGAATGTCTTGGGGGTGCACTCGGGCAAGAGCGTCTCTGGAACATCGGGGAGCCTTTTTCAGACCAGGGGTTCTGGTGCACCACTCGGAGTGCCCAGGGGGAGCTCGCAGGCGCCCACGGAGGAGGGGGAGGGGGGGTGGCAGGAACGGCGGGGAGGCATCCAAGCCCGCCGTGGGGGGATGTCGTGGCTCTCGTGGCCAGCTTGGAGCGTCGGCTGCTCGGAGAAGTTAAAACGGTTGAGCCGTCGTCGGCTCCAGAACTACCTCCAGGAGGCTCGCCAGGCCCTCAAATTGTTATATGGATAGGCGCGCAACGCTAGGGATAGTTTTGCTGTGAGCGCGGCTCGAACAGATGGCGTTGCTCTAAGGCCAAGAGCCCTGACATGTTTTGTAACCTATACGGCAGCCGGAGGTAAGATGGGAGCAAGCAGCGGGCGAGCGGAAACGAGGCGGAAACGGGGATTAGAGGCGAGGAAAATGCTACTTATTATCACACTCCTCATGCACGGCTCTCGATGAATGGCGCTCGCAGCGTCCTGAAAGAGACGGGCATACCTTCTCTCGCTTCACCAGACGGAAAGAATTATCGAGATAATTCTGAAACGGCGGCGTCAATGGCAAAGGCAGGCAAACGGCCTGACACGGCTTGCAACAGGGTTCATTGGGGCAGCGAGTCCGATCGCGAAGCGACAAGACTCAAACAAACAACATTGTTTTACATATAACAATAAGATCTGACATGCGCGTGGTCGTCACCACTCGCAAAAACACTGTGCACACTGAATACAGCTTCTGCAATACGGAGTTACGTGTAAATCTTTGGGCCGGGTGTGAAATCTCAATGCGGACTTACGTAGGCGGGGTCAGGAAAGGCGACCGTTTGGCAACAACAACAGAGTATTAGCCAGTTCGAACGGCCAATCTGCCGTCCGGGCACCGGGCGGTACTCAGATACCCTTCTTGGAAGGTTTCGACGGCGGCGTCCTTAGGTCTCTGCCAGTGAGCTTCAACCAACGGCCCATGAGGTCGTGCATCACCGGGCTCGTGAACATGGTGAAGTCCGGGTCGCTCTTGCGTAAGATGCGTACGAGCCATGCCGAGTGCTTCTTGCACGTCTTGTACGTGATGTAGACGCTGTAATGGTTGTGCCCGCATATAAATTCATGTCTCCATGCGACGCAGTTCACCATTTCGTTCGGCGTTACAGTCGGCGAGGATCCGTTCCACGAAACCACGCTGGTGGATGATGAGCTCGAAAAGGTGGCGATGCTGGGCGAAACTGGAACTGATGTGCGGCTCGATATGTTTCCTGGTGCTGGCTGCGCGGCGTCGGGTAGTGGCATCGGCGGGTACTGCGGCAGCGGCGGCTGCGATGGGTGGTGTCTGGACGTGACTCCCGATCCCGATGCTGCTGATCTCGATGCCTGTGTGTTGTTGGATCCATCCGAGGGGTGCATGGAGACGTCGCCATCGTGGTCACGCTCCTCGGAAGTGGTCGCGGGTACATTGCGGCGCCAGCCGAAGCGACGTCCGTCCCAGGCTGGGTGCTCGTCGTC